TTCAAAGAGTAATTTCGTTCGAATTTTTTCAAAATGTGATAATTTTAGGTATGTAATTTCTCTGGAAATGGCGGGATGGTGGCAATTATTCATTTTAGAGAACTTGTCCAAACGTTTATTGAGCGAAATTTCGGGTTGTTTTTCTAAAAGTGACAGCGTGACAGTTCTCATTATTGACTACTAGTTAATAATGTCCACATTATTAACCACTTTGAACAAATGCCGAGAAAGCCTACTTTACAAGTGGGAAAAAGGTTAATAATCATGTCATCAGACGCTAGTAGTGAAAATAGTATATTATGTAGTTCAATCTGTTTAGTCTTATGTACCTATATGAATTGTGCAATTTGTTATATCAAATTCCATATACCATTATGCTAATATGTGATTTACAACATGCTTGTGGAAGTGTACGATATCTCAGCTTTAGACCACGTTTAACTCGGTTACACGGTGCACGGGTGTGTACTGATGTAGGATCTCGACTTTCGTGAAGTAGGGCATGCAATGCTAGGTGTATTTACAGGTTAGGTTGACTCCTAACATTCACGATTGTGTGTGCCTTTTTGTACGTACCTAATATCTTCCTACCGTGAGAGGGAGCTCGGGCGCTAGAATAGAAATGTATTCTAGAGCTAAGGCGGAAAAGGATCCGAGGGCCCTCGAATCTTCAACTTTAGGTGCGAAGTGTCTGTAACCCGAGACCGCTCTACCTATGCGCGGCGACCCATCTCTTAACCGTCTTCAGTTTTGTGTCGTGGCTCCACTAGCACACTGTGTATTATCATAACTGCCTATGTTACGTCAATAATAGATCAGACATGTTTTTACAAACTTCACATCACTCTATTCGGTATATAATAGGCGCTTTCTTTCGGCTACTTCGCAATCATGATTTCAAAATCGTGATTCGTAGGATCACGTTTTACGAAAGAACGCGCGAATTTAAAACAAAGTATGGTTAAGTTTACGTAGTACACATTTGAATTCGAATTATGTATTTTTTGTTTGGATTATGAAAATAAGTTAAATTCAAGTGGAAGTACTTGCGCAATTATGCTCCTCTTCAATTACAAATATGGACTGACTTAACATTTGAGCATAAATATCCTTGCATTTATAGGTTAGGAATTCGTGATCATAAACCTTTTATGTTCAGTTTGTCTTTGTTCACGATCTTAGCAATCATGATTATAAGATCACACTTCGAAAGAACGTGATTTGACAATCCAAACGCGTTTGGATCACCGTAAGAAAGCGCCTAATGATATGAATAACTAGTAGGGCGACTTAGATCAATAATATAATATAAGTGCCTGAATATGTTGCCTCTAACAATATTAACTGCGCTATGTAGGCAAATATGCCAGCACAATCCCTAACAATATAACCGTGACATAGGAGGCTAACCAAGCGAATACGCTGATCTAATAATAATAATAATA